TAGGAACTTGCCCTTGAGATGAAGCCTCAAAATCCTTGCTTCCAAGGAGCAGCCTGGTTTCAGCCTCTTTTCCTAGCAGTCCATGGTGTAGTCAATACTTTTCTCCAGCACCACAGATCAAAGGCATCAATTCTCCTATCAACCCTAGTCATTGTCCAGCTTTCTGATGTATAGCAAGTAATTGTGAAGACCATGGTCTGGATCAGGCTTACCCTAGTCTCCAGACTGACATCATTGCTCTTCAGTACTCTGGAGAGGTCGCTGACAGGTGGCTTCCCCAACGCAATTCATCTTTTGATTTCCTGGCTGCTGGTACCAAGAGTGTTGATCGTGGAGCCAAATAAGCTAAAGCTGTTAACAATCTCAACCCCTTCGCTATCTATCATGATGCTGCCAATTGGCCCGGTGGTAAGAATCTTTCTTTTCTTGATGTTGAGCTTCAATCTATATTGAAGGCTGCAGTCCTTGACCTTCTGCAGCAATCGCTTTAGGTCCTGCTCAGTTTCAGCTTGCAAGCTTGTTATCTGCATATCATAGATTGTTAAGTCTACTTCCAATCCTGATGCCACACTCCTCATAGAGCCCAGCCTCCCATGTGATCTGTTCTGCATATAGATTGAAAAGGTATGGAGATAGCACACAACCCTGGCATACACTCTTTTCAACTTTGAACCATGCAGTGTTTCCTTGCTCTGTTCTGACCACTGCTGCCTGGTGTAAGTATAGGTTTTGCGTAAGTACAATCAAGTGTTCTGGGATTCCCATTCTTCTCAGAAATTAGCGAAAACTTTTTTTTTAAAGCCTTCTTTTTTACCTGTTTGTGCTCTCATTGTTATTTCCTAAATAATAATTACTTCCTTCTAAATAATGTAGGAGTGCTGGTGACTTGATAGTAAAGAATTGCACTGCCAAGCCAATGTGGTAAAACCTGCCAGTTGCTCTGCAGAAAGACGGGCTATCCCCCGCTGTGTGATTTACTGCCTCTGAAAACCCACTAGAGGGGTGGCTATGGGCTGGTTGACTCAGTGGTACATAACAACATATACTGTAGGTTTTGTATATTTTTGTTGTCTTCATAATTGTAGTTATTGGGTTAAGCGATTTGATTCTTTATTACTAGAAATTGACCTCTGAGTTTACTGGATTTCTAACGAATGTTGCATTTCATTCTTACCTGCTTTTAAGAAATCATTTCAATTTTTTGTGTAATTGTCGTGAAAGGTTACAGAATGAGGTTTCATTTGTTGTTGCATTTTCCTCCCTCAATCTACTCTTCAATAGAATTCTTGTTTCAGATTGTCATACACATGACTAATCCTTTCAGACAGTCCCTTCATCAGTTCTAATGCAATGTTCATTATCTATCCACTCTTTTTCTATTTTCTCCCCAACCTCCAATGTCAGTCTTGTTTTATTGTGGCGGTATTTGCCCTTTTCTGACTTCTATTAGCATAATGTCTTCCAGGATCGCCCATGTTGTGTTTTATAAATTCACTGCATTTTTCAATGCTGCATAATATTCCATTGTGTTACTGTACCAGTTTTTCTACCCACTTGTCGGTTGATGGGCAGGTGGGCTGCTCCCATCTCTTTACTATTGTGATTAACACAGCAACAAACACAGGTGTGCATGCATCCATTTGAGTCATAACTCTGTCTTGTTTAAGGTATATCCCCACTAGTGGGAATGTAGGCTCAAATAGTACTTAGAGGCAACGGGGGGAGCAGAAAAGGGAAAAGTGGGGGAATCAATCATTAGGATGGTAGAGGTTAGTGAGTGGAGGGAGTGAATGAATGGGAAAGTTTCAATGGGGATTTGCAAGCATGAGGTGACAGCAGACACAGAGCAATGGTAATTATACAAAATACAATGTATATGAACGATTATATAAAACACAATATACATGAATAACACACAATGTAAATGACTGTAAAAACACAAAATACATGTAAAGAGACAAGCAAGCCAATAAAAAAATTTTGAAAAACTTTCCTATTTATTTTACACTGTCGTTTTTAAGCAAGATGTTTCCATGTCTGTTTGGTATTTTCCTATTATTGATTTGCAATGTTAGGACCCAAGAAGATAGTTTGTATTATTACAGTGTTACTAAAATTTGAATTGTGCTTTGTGGTTTTACATGTGGTCTATTCTGGAGGATGATTTATGTGCACTAAAAAACCAATGTGCATTGTGGTTCTGTTGGGAGAAATGTTTATTATTCATGAGGTTGAGTTGGTTGATTTGTTTTGTGATTCTCTGTATATTTGGGTTACTTGTTCTCACCTTCATTGAAAATAGTACGCTAGCGTCTACTACTATTACCGTGTAGTTATGTGCCACTGAGTCGCCTGCTATTACTGTACAGTTATTCTGGGTTGTTTTTTTTTCTTCTCAATTCTGGTAATGTTTCCTTTATGTATTTTGAAGCTCTTTTAGGAACTGCACAGAAATGTTATGGTCAGCAACTATGTCAGTATGGAGACTAAGGTGAGACTCACTCAGGCCACAGCTTTCAGTTACTTACTCTGTGTCAGAAAGCTGGACAACTAGGGATGATGAAAGAATTGATGCCTTGAGCTGTAGTGCTGGAGAATACCATGGACTGCTAAGAACAAACAGGTTCGTCCTACAGAGGAGGAAACTAGGCTGCTCCTTGGAGGCAAGGATTCTGAAGGCCTGTCTGACATACTTTGGACATGACGCAAGGATTAACTCAGTGACTGGGGTTATAAGGGTAAGTATGTCAGAGACAGTAAGATTGGCACAGACTAGAGCAGGGTTCAGAGCTGTTATACATAGGGTCACTATGAGTCACAAGTGACTTGACGGCACAGAACATCATGTCTTTTTGTTGGATGACTCATTACTCTTTCCTTGTCCTCTGTGCTTTCTGCCTTGATGTCTATTTCTATTCCACTCCTGTTCCTTTGGTTGTCGTTGGCTTGTTGTATTCCCCCTCACACCCCCGTTAATATCAATCTCTGTATATAAGGTGATTCTTTCATAGGCAGCATTCTGATGGTATTTCACTCTGTGCTTTATAGTTTGGATTCATATATATATATATTTAGAAAGTTTGTATACATTGTTTTCACACCAGATCTTTCCCCTTTCCTTTCCCAACTCCTCCCTCCATAATTTCTCAATCCATTCCATTGTGGTTGGACACCTGGGCCATTTCTGTGTTCTTGCTATGGTGAATAATGCTGCTATGAACATTGTTGTACAAGTTTCTATTTATGCCTCTAGTTTGGATTCTTATTGTTTGTGCTGAAGTTATACAAAACTAGTAACTCACAAAGCATGAAATCACAACTTAGTATGAAAAGTTTTATCAAAGCTAAAATTTATTTGGTGCATACTCTGTGCTTGCTATCAGGTACTTCACATAGACTTCCCCTTAAGATGCAAAAGCAATTTTGAGGTATTTTACAGATTTAAAAAAAAAAAAAGAAAGAAACCAAAACAAAACTTATTTAACTTACTCAGTGTAAATAAAGGTTATAAGCATTGCAAAACACAAATAAAATTTTTTTAAAAAAGAAAAGACAAAACACAGTCAGCTACACAGTCTATTACTACTTTCTACTGTACATCATCTACATGTGTTACCCACTTCCACATAAGAAGAAAATAGAACCAATTCAACTGAAAGGAAATATGTGCTATAATTTTGGTCTACAAGTATTTTTTTAAATTTACCAATCTCTACTCTAAAGACAAGGGACTTGAATGCTGTCAGTATCTGAAATAATGTTAAGGTCATTTAGAACTTTGAAAATGTTCATATAGAAACATATAAGGCTTTAAAATAGCACAGTCTATTTTCAGAGGCAATTTCTCAGCAGAACAAAAGGCAATGGGAACAATTCAATTAATGGAAATTACTTTAAGTAAAATACTTTCAAGAAAGTAGAAAAATGTATAGGTAAATTTTATAAAATTGTAGCACCATCACCCCAATAAATGAGCAGATTTCAAGATGTGAAAATTCCTTAATTACAGATCTTTTCATTTAGAAGTCCAAATTATACAATATTATGCATTATCTAATTAAGTGTTCAATACTGACATCAAGTTATCTTACAAAATTAAAAACAATATCTTAATAATTAATGACTACTGTGTTACAAAGAAAAAAAAATCCTTCATTATTTAGCAGTTTTATTTCACATGTAGGGTTTGTTGGGTTTTTTTTTTCCCTCAAAGGAAATACTGTGTAATAAACTAGATAGATATATAACCTGGCCCAGCAGCAAGCATGGTGAACAAAAACATTTTTACTTTTCTAACATTTCTTGATGTTTTCAGCATTCCTGTGTCTTTTACCTAATACAATTTAATAAAGTTCATACAGAAATCAGATGTAAAAGTTGATCTTTTATTTTTTTTAAAAGTACCCTCCTACTAAATGCTGCCAGCAATCAAACTATAACTGTTTTATAACCAAATTATTAAGTACATTATATTCAAAATATATATTGAGTGTGTATATGTATGTGTATTGAATGAACTAAATATTCATATTCAATGAATAAACTTCATACCAGCACACTACTCTTCACATGATTTATTTTAAATGACTGCTGGTTCTAGATGCTCAAAAAGTCACAAAGTTGATGGCAGCAACTATAACACATATACAGTTCTTTGAAAGCCAAGTTTTAAGTTATCACAAATCAGTGGAATATAATTTAACAAAATACAAACGACATTTATAGCATAAGGCTTTGTGGTTAAATAAGCAAGAAATTAAAGGAAAACACTGGAGAAAGGCTGTGGAAAACAAATCATGTTTTCCTGTTAGAAGATTGTAATTTACTCTTCCCTTCCTAAGGGTCTAATACAAACATAAAGTCACTAAAAGAAAAGCTTCCTGAAATTCCTAGAAAAGAAACAATTACACTTCAGTAACAGTAACTGATGAGGCTAGACTTTATCACAACTGAAAGTTAACTGGCTGGTAGCCAGAAGATACAATTGCTCAATTTTAAAGAAGTTCATTACATTTGAAACAATACGGGAAAAAAATCTCAAAAATTTACTCATGAAATATAGTTTATCTCTTACAAATCTTTTTGAAAATGCAATTCATAGATGCTGTAACCTCAGAAGTTTGAATTTAAAATTAAAATAGGAAGGCAGTACTCAAGGAAGTCACATCAGAGTGTTTTGTCAAATATTTGTACAAATTAGTTATATACTTTTTTAATGATACAGTAGGAAAAAGTGATTCTAAATATAGCCAAGTAAATGCAGAAAAATACATTACTATTTGAGGCAGACCATGCTAAAATATAACTTACAATGATCAGTTTGCATTTCAGATGGCTAATAATGCCTGAAGTTGGAATAATAATAAAATGTAGTAAGTTAAATTTTGCAATATTTGCTCAGTCTTTTGTACTAAACACTAGTATATTTGAGATGTTCATAAGACTGGGAAAAGCAAATAACCTGATCCTTTTCTTTAAGCTTATTATTTTCTCACTTGGTCATACGAATGCAAACAAATCAATACAGCATAAGATTTTTCACATATTGAAATGAAGACTTGTGACTTGTGAAGATAGATTGTATACCACGTAGCACTTAACAGATGAAACCTGCAATTATAATCAACTCAGTTTTTTTAGAACACCAAGATTTACAAACTAAAATCATCATGTGTTAAAAAATTTTACTATTCAAGATATTTAATTGATCATTTTTCTTTGAGATTGGTAAGGGTTAGGTCTTCAAAAATCTGAAGAAGTTGGTAAGAGGAAAAAAATCCTCAATGCTTTAAAAACACAACTGGTCAAGAGTTTATACAACTTACAAGATGGAATTTTCTGTCACAGAACCATTCAAGTTCCCGAAGCTCTTCCAAGCCAACTACACAGAGATGAAAACAGCTTATCCATGATTAAAACTGAAGTCGTCCATCAAAAATTGGAGAAAGACACTTCACCCAAAGAGATCTTTTAAATCATTGCTAGCTGAACCACTATTGGTCATAGTAGTTGGTGGCTGTGCAAAGTTCTGTGGGTTAAAGAAAGGATTACCCTGCATTCCAAAGGCAGACTGTCCCATCATGTTCATCTGTGTTCCCACTACTGTACTGCCCATACTTGGAGACCCCTGAGGAGGTACAAACTGATTAAGCCACTGATTTGGTTTCTGTTGTGAGAGTTGGTTCATGCTAACTTTGGGTTTCTGAGGGCCAAAAAGATTATTAAGGGCAGACATATCTGTGGGTCTCTGTTGAGTGGGCTTCGAGCCAGCAGGAGCAGGACTCATAGCATTGAAGTTCGGCAAAGAGGCAGGTGTTCCAAGGGTCATCTTGTTTACTCCAGGTGCACCTGGACTACTGAAGAAGTTTTGGTTTGTATTAACTGGCATGTTGAATCCTGAAGTCTGAAAGCCCATGTTGGCGTTGAGACCATTTGTCAAATTTCTCTTTGTATTATCAACTGGTGTAGAAAACATCATGCCAAGGCCCATAGGAGAAACAGAAGCAAAGGTACTTGGTGTGGCAATTTTAGGAGTACTAACAGAAAGGCTGGTCAAAGACGACATGTTATCCATCAAGGTATCTGTCAAGTCCTTAGTCTGCAAAATACAAGTAAAGTATTTTATATTAAAAAAAAAAAAAAAAAAAAAGAAAGTACTTTATCTTCAAGAAGCCCAAATTATTTCATTCTTGGTTAAACATTTGATAAACAAAATGATACAGGATATATTAAACTAATTAAGTGCAACCAAAAGTCAATCAATCACTGTCCACAGGCTAAAATTTCTGTGTGGTCTTCATAAGAAAATTTGCATTCAATTAAGCAAAATATCATCTACCTCCAAAATAAATTCATTCTTTTCATTAATAAGATTTATATTATAAAAAAGTTGTACATTAAGGGAGCTCTCATGGCCTAGTAGAAAAAGCTGCACAGCAATCGCAGAGGTCACTGAGTTGCAAGCAACTAAATAGCACAAAACAGCAATCTCAGAGGTTCACAGTTTGAATCCACCAGGTGCTCTGCTGGAGAAGAAGGGACAATCTCCTCTGTACCAGTCAGATCCAATTTGATGGTACACACATGCACACATACAAATAATAAAATATTTTTTAAAAATTAACCATTATATTATAATTTTTACTTTTTTAATTTTGTCAAAAGAAACCCTATAAATGTGTTGTCCCTATTCTCAGGTAAGTGACTATATAATATTCTCATTTTTCCTTTTTGACCTGCAAATGAATTTTTTTTTTCCCCAGAGGAAGAATTTTAATGATTAAGGGATAACAAAAATAACTTAATGGTTACTTTCAGGATAAAAGTTATTCTGAAATCAGTGAATATAAACTCTCCAAAGATCCTTGTAAATAAGGATCTTGTTCACTGAAATCACTGAGTATAAACTCTCCAAAGATCCTTGTAAATAAGGATCTTGTTCACTATCATAGTACCAACACCTATAATCACGTCTAGAAAATAGCAGAAAATAAATACAGATCAGGTCACACAAGTAAGTCTTCTTGAATTAAATCATACCTTCTCACTTATTAAAAGGGCGAGATCATTCTACAAAAATCAGTTATTATGTAAAACAGGAGGATGGCCATATAAGACCACAAAATGAAGGACAACTACGTCATAATGTAACTGCCAAACCACTGTCAAGCTAACACGTAACCTTAACCATCACAGTTGGCATTATTCAGAACTGTTAGACGTATATTGTCAATTACAAAGCAATCACATGCCAGACTTCACAGTACTGTTATAAAATGCCAGATGACAAGACAGTCATTCAGTGCAGATCATGTGTAAACCTGACTGTCACATGAGTCAGAATTGGCTTGATGTTAACCAACAGTATCACTGAAAAGCCAAAATTAGCAAATTCATTTTAATCCGAGAATACCTGAAAATGTATACTGATGATTTGAAGGCAAAAAGAGTTGAATTTAGGACTACTGTAATCCTTTTTAAAGAATTCCTCCTATTTGCCCCACTTCCTCTATCAGTAACAACCACCATGATGGAACATTCTACTGTAGGCAGGCTATGGAGGAGTTGCTGAAAAATCCTTTATGCTCATAACTCTTGTTTTTTTTATGCTCATAACTCTTGAAAAGTAGACACTAAATTGTTCTTTGCAATCCATTTTTAGACAAAATTCTATACTCTCTCCTTCCTACGAGTTGTTGACTGCCTTTGAGTCAAGCACAACTCATAGCGACCCTATGAACAAAAGACATGAAGCCCTTCTACAACTATCGACATTTATCAAAGCCCACAGGGTTTCCGGAGGCATGTTGTTCAGGAAGTGGATGCCACTCCTGCTTCCAAACCTGCCATTGTATGTTATTATTGTTATGTGCCATTGAATTATGCTTAAAATTACAAAGAACAAAACTCTGACCTGTTTGACCGGGGCAATGGGTGTATGTACTTGAGGTTTAAGAGGCTGCTGGCTTTTCAACTTCTGTGCTTGTTCTTGTTCTTTTGCCAATTTTTGTTTTTCTTCAAGTGTAAGTGATGCCTTAAAACAAAAAATAAAAACACAATGGGTAACTTCATAATTACATTTATAAAGTAGAACTTTTTTTTTGGTACATTACAGCTTGCTACTTTTGGTGATACTTGCTACTTAATTGAAAATGAAACTATTCCAGTACTGGTTGCAACTGAAGTCAATTCAACTTGTAACTGAGCCACCATTAGATTTCTGAGGCTGAAAATCATATGGGAGGAAAATGTTCATCTTTCTCCTATGGAGTCACTGGTGAATTCAAACTGCCAGAGAAGTATGGACCACGCTACTAAGCTCCTACTGGTGACAGGCAAGTTACATTTTGAATTAATAGAAGATTTAAGTAAGCACTGGTGGCCTAGTGGAAAGCAGCTGTTCTGCAGTCTCAAAGGAAGGCAGTCTGAATCCACCAGATGCTCTGTGGGAGAAAAAAATGGGCAATCTTCTCCCATACAATCAAACTGCCTCTGAAAACCTACTGGAATAAACTCTAGGTCAGTTCCAATTCAACAATACTCAATAACAAAATATTTCAATTTAGAAACACAGTACCTGTAATATAACAGTTAAGATTTCTAAATTGCTTTTTTTTTTTTTTTTGCTGTAAGACTATGACTAAGTGATGCGGGTGATCCTCACTGTCAATCATTCAAAACCAACTCATAGCTCACCCTTCAACAGGACTTCACAGGAAAAGAACGCACATCTTTCTCCCTTGGAGAGGCTGGTGAGGCTGAACCACCAGAGAGGTCCTGCCTTTGGGTTAGCAGCTATGGACTAGAGCAATTTCAGAGGGGGTGGTTGTCAGGCGCCACTGACTCATAGTGACCCTACGAAAAACAGATCTGAACACTGTTTTGTCCTGTGTCATCCTCACACTTCTGACACACAGGAGCCCACTTCAGCAGTCACTGTATCAATCTACCTGGGAGGGTCTTCCTCTCCTTTTCCGAAGCCCCTCCTAGCAACATGCCCAAAGTATGTGAGGCGAAGCCTTATCATTCTTGCCTCCAAAGAGCACTCTAGAACAAAGAAATATGTCTTGTAGAGGGTATAGTCAAAGTGCTCTTTGGAGGCAAGAATGATTAATTTGGGAGGTAGATAAAACTAATTCCAATTAAGCAAAACAGTAACTTCTCCTGAAAATAGTTACATCCATCTCATTAACAAAATGTGTACTATCAAAAAAATTATGTAACATCGTCTTCATATTTTTAATTTTATAAAAAAAAAATACTGTAGAAATCTGTTGTTTCTACTTTTAGGTAAGTGCATGCAGTGTTAGGTTAAAAGTTGGCTTCTCGCAGTTTTCGCCTGGTCTGTCTGTCTCCAGACCAAGGACTCCTACCTGGAAGCCCCCTTAATAAATCTGTTTTAAGCTTTAAAAAAAAAAAAGTTCCCTTCTCTAATCATTATATTAGGTAGCTACCTCAGGTCTCCAGTTACTCTGACTGTATTTTGCAAATCATCAACAGTTGTGGGACGAGGATAAGAGATAGTGTGTTTCTAGGATAAGAGATATAGTGTGTTTCTCACATTGGGCAGCAAGACTGGAACAAGACCCTGATAACAATGGTGGAAAGCCTGAGGCATTGCTATAAAGATTCAGACTCTGTAATATGTGTGTTTGGAGGAAAGGGGATAAATAAAAGGCTAAGAAACCTCTGGAGTATGGGTGGATTAAGGAAAATCCAACTCCTGTGTTGCAGACGGTTACTGAAAGCAAAATTAACTTATAAGATATGAAGTTAAGAGGACAAACTCCTGAGAAACTGGTTAAATGGATACAGGTAGAAATACAGGACAATAAGGAAAGGGTGGAACTTACAAAAACCTAAGTTTTGTTATCAGCAGTAGCAGCAGATGCAAAGGAAAAGAATGTACGAACTGAGATGACTGAGATAAAAACTGAACAAAACTCTACCAGCACAGAGTTAAGCTCTTTGATCTCAGGCTCCCTTGGGAAAGAAAGAAAACCATGCACAAGTAACCAGAAATGTCCCTCTGACCAGTAGTCACATAGTAGTCTGGGAGGCAGATAGGCATGATCAAAAATTACTGAACCAGAGGATAAGGCCTAGAGGAAATACGTAAGTTTGTGGATCATTATCAACAGCTTCCTGGGGGAATCATTATTAAAACAGATTGTAAGAGTGATGAATTGAAGAAGAGTACCATCTGCATTTCTGTATGCTGAAAAATGGAGGAACATGTATGGGTTAATTCTAGACCCACAATTATCCATACAACAGGTGAATGGCAGTGGAAGATACAGTCACACAACAGATTATCCCAGAGAGGATGATTAGCTTGATAGAGTGGATAAGATGTGAGATTAGGCTTCTTTATTCCTCCACGAGAAACTGCTCCTTTCCTTGTCTAAGTAACAAATGGAACACTCTCGAAGTAGTTGATGTTCTACACATGCAATCGATGCTGGAGTATATGGCACTGAGAACATTCAGCCAAAGAATGTGACCCTTACAAAGGCCATGCAAGAGATGGAAAATTACAGGGGCTCCTCCAACATGGTAATCTTAAATAGCTTTGCTACTGGCGAACAAGACAAAAACTGAAGAAGGTGTGTCCACTCTATTGAAAAGACTTCAACCTTACGGGCTTTAAGGATACAAGGAACATCAGGGTAATTCGTAGGCAAACAGAAGGAGACACTATGGGAAAATTATTTACCCTAATAGATTGGAGATTTTTTAGATGGTTACTCAGGAACAGGATAAACAGAGCAGACACTGATGGAGTTGAAACAAAAGTTCTAAGGAAGCACTATAGTAGGCTGGGTGGGCCAATGAAGGCTTCCTCTGCTCCCCCAATATCAAGAAGGCCTAAAGAAGTCTGTCTGTTCTATCCATCCTATTCATGAGGTAATTAATGATGAGGAAAACTAGTCAGAATCACCTAACGCAGCAACTCAGCTAGTTAATCAAGATACGGATTAATGAGAAGGCCAGGGTCTTCCGGTTCAATCCTTAGCAGGGGGCCTGCTAAGACCATATGCACATGTGTGGCCTGATCGTGGATAAAAAACATTCTTGTGACTTCTGGACACAGGAGCCCAGTGTACTGTAATTACCAAATCTATTGATAAAATCCTATAGGGAATTAAATTTTGTTAGAAGGAAATGGAAATGCAGTCATTAATGGGACTAGAGTGAAACTCTGATGAGAACTGGAAAATATAATTGCATCAGGTAAATCTGCTGTGAGGGACTTTTCCAGAGTATGGAGAAGCAACACTATCCAGTCCATAGTCTTTGTAATTACTTGCTATGCATCAGAAAGCTGGATAATCACTGAGAATGACAGAAGAATTGATATCTTTGACTTGTGGTGCTGGAGAAGAGTCTTGAACATACTATGGACGGCCAAGAAAACAAAGAGGTCTGTGCTGGAGAGGATGAAACCAAGTTTCTCTTTGGAGGCTAGAATTCTGAAGCTCCATCTTACATACTTTTGGCACGTGGCAGGAGGTACCAGTCCTTAAAGAAGGACATCGTTCTATATGGTGCCACTGTTGTAGAATGAGGCTGGCAT